TTTTTAGCGATGTCGGCGAAAAACGCTATTTTCGGGGTCCCCGCGAGAAAAGCTCTCCTCCGGGGAAGATAAAGGAAGAGTATTACTATGTTTCAGGTTTTGAAAAAAATGGCGATGCCCGCCGGTCCATATCGACTATTCCCCTTCCCTCTTCAGAGGAAGAAGAACACCTCTCACCCTCTTTAAGAGAGAGNCTAGGTTCCTTAGGGTCCGTCCTCTCGGCTCCCTGATGCTCAAGGTTTCTGAAGATATGAGTAGACCTGAAACTTCTTTTTTGAATTTTAATTCAGAATTAGAATGTGTTAGGTTTGCTTATATCGTTCAGAAAGGTGTTGATGCTCAGGGGAATAAGCTGTGGGGACGCTGGGAGGAGGGCTTCTCGCGGGGACCCCGAAAATGGCGTTTTTCGTCGACATCGTTTTTTAGCGATGTCGGCGAAAAACGCTATTTTCGGGGTCCCCGCGAGAAAAGCTCTCCTCCGGGGAAGATAAAGGAAGAGTATTACTATGTTTCAGGTTTTGAAAAAAATGGCGATGCCCGCCGGTCCATATCGACTATTCCCCTTCCCTCTTCAGAGGAAGAAGAACACCTCTCACCCTCTTTAAGAGAGAGATCGAGAGTTCTCCCTCCTCTCATGGGGGATCTGTGAATCCCCCAGTGTTGTGGGAGAAGAAGGTGTGAAACCTTCCCCTCCCCTTCCCCCGACAAACTTGGTCCTCTGCGACCTCCGAGTTCATCAAGGGGGCCAGAATCCTCCATCCACGTCCAGTTTGTACCACGTTGTCGTCATCGTCTTGAATAAACTTTTAATTCTCAATAGTAAACTGCTTGAGCAACCTATGAAAAGTCATCGGGAATTGTTGAGCGGATAGAAACAGCTCTGAAGGGAACATAGAATACCTTAAAAAATAAATGTAAGGGAGACAGTGTCAGATAACTAACGAGTATGATTAAAACAGAAGAAACAGAGAAACAACATATCATCAAGAGCGTTTGGCGTGGCAAGGCTTCAAGGCTTACCAAAAGATGAAAGCAAAAACGCGAACAAATCGGAAAGGAAAGAGAAGGAGCAAAAGGAAACGAATCTTCAGTCATTTACATTACATTAAAAAGTACAGTCACATGAAGAAGGGGTGTTGAGTCTAAGACACAGGAGCTCATGGCCCTTGAACCTCAAACTAAAACCATGAAATAACGATAGAACCAGCTTCTTCTATCAAACTTTTACGAAGTTGAAGAGAGTCAGAAGAACCCAACGAATGAACCCAAATAACCAAAGGTGAATATGAGCAGGGTGTTTCGAAACGAGCGAACAGATAGAAACAGTTATGATTCATGAAAATACAATAGATAGCAACGTTAGTTCACCGAATGAACTGTGGAAAGACACTTAAGAAATGAATGTAAGGGAGACATGAACAGATAACTAACGAGGATAATTAAAACAGAACAAACAGAGAAACAACTAGTCATCAAGAGCGTTTGGTGTGGCGAGACTTGAAGGCTTACCGAAAGATGAAAGGAAAAACATCTTCACAAGTCATGTAAGATGAAGAAACCGCGAACAAATCGGAAAGGGAAGAGAAGGAGGAAAAGGAAACGAATCTTCAGTCATTTACATTACATTAAAAAGTACAGTCACATGAAGAAGGGGTGTTGAGTCTAAGTCACAGGAACTCATGGCCCTTGAACCTCAAACTAAAACCATGAAATAACGATAGAACCAGCTTCTTCTATCAAACTTTTACAAAGTTGAAGAGAGTCAGAAGAACCCAACGACTGAAGAAAAGGAAAGTTATAAGTAATCAATACTGGCGTAAGTTCTTAATAGAGGAGGAAACATGTTGTGATTGGCACGGATAGTACTCGACCGAAATACAAAAAGAAACTACAGCACAAAAAACGTTCATAGTTATGCATTCTCTGATAACTAAAAAAATCAAAAGTGTACGACACCTGGGATCCCATGCAGTTTCGGATCCAAATGGTGCGTTGCCAGATTTACATGGAGAACAGCGATGTCTTGAACTTGACTACGCGAATATCATCGAACCTTCATTCCTTCTCTCATATACTAAGCACCCATGGATAAAAGTAAGCTATAGCTCTGCTCCATCTTCTCTCATGTCTTTCACAGAAAACAGAAGAACAGTTCATTCGAGGATCTAATAGTTATCTTTACAAACACAGGTGTTAACCAGAAACAAAAGAAAGCCGAATGAAGGTTTTACAGGGGAGTGGTTATCGGAAGAAATGCATAAGTAATCAATACTGGCGTAAGTTTTTAATAGAGGAGGAAACATGTTGTGATTGGCACGGATAGTACTCGACCGAAATACAAACGAAACTACAACATTCCTCTTAGTTTCCTTTGGGAGTACATGTATTTTGTAGCAAACCATTCCATATAACTTCCTCTTATTTGTAAACAGACTCCACGAGGAAAACCTGCAATGCTTGCATAGCAGAAGTTTACAAAACAATTGAGCTTACAGAACTGCGCAATGCCGTGGATTTAGATTTCGGAAATGTAAGAATAGTTCGCTTAAGAACTGGGTTGAAGAAAAGAGTTAGAAGTGAATTGACGACAGAGTTGAATCCTAGGACAATAAGGCTAAAAGTGACAATGTCTGAAACAAGTACGAAATGATGATAAACTTCAATGAGGGAGATACATGAATGAACATCAATCAACAATGTTAACCCAACTGCGAAAGGAGCAACACATGAAATACCCAGCATAGAAAGAGTCTGAATGATAAGGGGGTGACACTGACAACATAGAGATTCACCTGGATAGTCAGAATCCTCAACACTCTCAGATGGTGTTTGGTGGCTCCGGCCGACATCAAACTTTGTTTCTTCTTGATATGATGAACAGTATTATAAATAATAAGAACACTGATCTAAAGATAGTGGTGTTCACCCAGTGCAGGCACACAGAGGAAACTAGGTGAAACTCACCAATGCAGAGATAATTATGTCAGCTCCGAGGTATATGGGATAGACTGCTTCTTGGAAGCTTCGTATTCTGTAGCTAACGACCGTCTTCGAGTACAAATAATCCAGTTGTTCCCAAGTCAACTGAGAGAGCAAGATATCAGAAGATTAACTGAGAGCTCACATTCAATGATAGGGTTTTCGGGTCGAATTCGGAATAGCCGATAACGAATAAGATAGTTGATACCATCACATTCAAAATCACAATCACAATGGATACAGCGGGAAAAACATTAGGCATCTGCAAGAGGAAAGGCTGTCTTAACTCGCTGGTTACTTACACGGAGGAGATGAGTATGATCGACTAAGAGGTATAACCGGAATAAATAGACACAACTTAAAGAAGAAGCGTAACCTCCGAAAAAAATACACAGAAGTACATAGCCACCAGCTGACGTCAATCCAATGAAGTGGGAGTAGCCCTCGGAGTAGAAGAAACCCCGGTTCAGATGAGTCACATACTTCAGCATGAAGCTCCATGTGAAACAGAAGAAGAATAATGAGATCTATAAAAAAGAATTGCATATTAGAGAAGACAAATTTACTGCTTGAGAGTGGACGAGGGCCTTGTAATAGGATGACTCCTTGTTTGAAGGTGACAAGTAAGCTATCAGATAAGTGAAGGAGAATACAAGAACGCTGATCATGGTCACTATGTTGTGAGCTACTCGATAGAACTCATTATCAGGCAATTGTTGATTGAATAGGTAAGATTCATATCCGGACATATGGTTGGGCATGTTGTGAACAATTTGAGCAAACTGCTTTCCATTGGAGAAACTTAATGATGTGTTCGTAAGTTATAGTGACGAGAAGGCAGGTGCAACACTGCCTAACAGGAAGATGGAATAATTGATTCTCAAACAACTGAAGCTCTTATAGGTTATATGATGGTCCATCTGATTCAAAGCTCATTTTAAACTCGAAAGACGTGATAAGCTGCGCGCTTCCATATAATTATCGTGTGTAAGTGCCAAGATAATTATAATACAGGTTGATGCCGCGCTTGATGTAGTAAACGTACATTCTTAATTATCATTTATTTAGTCATGAAAGAACGGAATGACAGATGAGGGGGGAGGAATAGAAAACTGCTTCACTACAACTGATGCGAAGTTCCAGAAGCAGAGAATGAAACGCAATTCTCTGGTGAACTATTATTGATCTCATAACGTCTGAGCTATACATCTCTCCCATTAAAAGGATAATTAACAACGGTTTCACCTATATCGGAAAAAATAAAAATAACAAAACAAAAAAATTAAAACTAGCTAACGTGAGATCACGTATATCAGTTAGGATTAGAGCGCAGCTTATGCAATCTGAATTATCAGTGGGTCATCCTTACCCTATATGGAAGCTTGTATTTGATAATGAAGAAAGCTGTCGAAGATTATGTTAGAAGGTATTCTGAATATATTTGAATGTAGAACAAAACATACGAAGTGAATTAGCAACTGGTAAGATCTAGTGGTGATTATAGTTCCACCAGTTCAGATCTGTAAGTAAAAGAGTAGTATGTTATTGCTCAATAAAGGATGACGCAACGACGAGTTGGTAACTACTAGCAACTGGCTGATCGCAGGGAGACTCGAAAGTGCATCGTACGTAGGTTTTAGTGTCCTCTTTTTCAACCTCATATTTTCCGTAGATTCATATGTGTTCACTGCTTTCTTGTCTTGTCAGGGGTTCTCGAAGTGAATGAGTACTAGTGCTACCGATACCTGAGAGCTAGACCATTAAACCGTGCCGTCCGTTTCGATCTGGCTGCCGAAGAGGTTACTAGCCAGCTCACTGGTCTGTTGGGAAAGGAACAGGAGCCAAAAAGATCCCTGGGAGATCTTAGCCGTCTGGTCTAGGTTCCTTAGGGTCCTTTCTCTTGGCTCACAACATGAACTCGCATTCCATAACTTGAGTAATCAAGATACATAAGGGCATGTCAAGATGAAAGGAACTATCACACAAATATCAAAGACTGGAGCTTCCCTCTCCTTATTTGTTGGGCATATGACAGTTGAAGCATGAAACTCTCGGCTTTTATAAATCTAAAATGTCTTGAGTACGAAGTGGTGCAATTTTGAGTAGCAATGTAAAATTGAGGAAGAAGGAAAAAGAAAGCTCGGGTTTATCTTATCCGAACAAGTTGAAGAGTCGGGTAAAAGAAGGAAGAGGCACAAACACATCGAAACACAACAAAACAGGAACCATAAATCTCACATGGATTCAGTATAGCTGATGGGGTCAAACATGATTACTCACAGCAACCTAGGCAGACAGACCACGTCTTCAACTCTCGCAAGCACTAAGGTTTGAATGAACGAAAAAAGACTATATTGGCATAGTCCTGTAAGTTGAATGGGGGAGGAGAACTCGATCAGAGATCAGAAGAGAAGGGCGTGCACACATGGCCAACTTGGACAATAAAGCTTCAAAAAACGCTCGAAGAAATGAGATAGAAGAATTGGTTTGAAATGCTCCTTAGATCTAGGAGGCTCACAGTGTTCCAAATAGAAAAAAAAATTATGAAAATTGGTTGAGAATAAAGAAAGTTCCGAGATTCTGAAGTTCGCAG